AAATCACTGTTTATATTTTACTGTGAACACAGTAATATAATTGTGGATTTTTCCTGAGAAAATCTTTCATTTATCTGGACTAACAGAAGGTTCAGAACTGATTATAAAACAGAGATGTTAATTAATCGTCATAAATGTTTTGCAGTGATTTCTCTTAGTCTATCAGAAGAAAGCTGAAAAGAGGTTATCATATCATGTTGTTGAACAACCACAGAATTTTAACCTTGGGCTGGCGCCGGCTGGCAAATCTTTATCTTTCTTTCTCTGACTCATCTCTAAGCCTGAGGGTGGAACCAAAGATCGTCCGTTTCTTCTACTAACCCGGACGGCTTTGAGCGACACACTCTTCTTCCTGACTCCAATCAAGGAAGACAAAGCTGAGTTCTCTCTCCGGTGGGACGCAGTTCGGCTTTTTAATTTTTTTTTTTTAAGCCCATGAGCCAACTAGGGAAGACTTAACAGCCGGGACCCCGCACGCCGCCGGTGGTCCCACCCCGAGGCTTCAAGCCTCTAAAATGTGTTTTCATCTCCCATGGGGAGATTTTATTTTGAAAAGAAGGGACCGGATGACAGCTTGAATTTTTCTGGCTTGGACTGAAACAGACGAAAAGTTACCTGAAAAACACCTACTCGCTAATGACCGGTAAGCGAGCCGATAATCAGTTCCCTGACTGATCGGAGGCGAGCCAGCTCCTACCCCGAGGGTGCCTTAAGAAGCCATCACCAGGTAAAGCTGATGTGTTCTGAGTGACGTGTCATGTGGACTCTAAGCGTAGAAAAGACGTGCAGTTCCGGTTGACCCACACTTTGATAAAAGTAAAAGTCGTAGTAACATACTAATCTTACTTTCCTGCTTTTCTTGTTCTTAATTTGCCAAAACTTAAGCTAAAMGTGCCAGTAAAATTGTTTGGTTGTTAACATCAGAACTGACGTTTTACCGTTCTGTATAAGTAATCTGAGTTGATGTGAATTGAAATTCGGACGCGGGTTTTATCTCATTTAACTCTGACGCTTGTTATAGGAATAACCACAATCAAGTGTACTTATGATTTGTTCAATTTGTGTAAATAAATGATTGCATAGTCTTTTATGAATCGACTTGAACTCGTCTGAATGTTCACTTATTGTGTCACTTTTCCCTTCGCACAGTCCAGGTTTTAACAAGTAATGAGAAACACCTTGGTAAATGTTTCCTCATAACCTTGTGTATGAGATGTGAGAAAAGCTTAATACCACCTTAAGCTCCCCTCCTACATAATGTAGGGTCTACAGTGAGCATCGGGAGAATTTTAGGGAGAGATTGAAGGAACAAGGGTTACAGGAATTTACTGTAAAGAATATTTTGGGTTGTGGTAGTAGAGCTCAAGTAAGGGCCTTGATTTTGTTTTTTAAAAAGACAGGGCTTTACTGCAGGATATAGTTTTATTTTTTTATTGTAAGGACATCTGTCACTCAAGCCCATGATATTTTACTGTCCAGCACTGGATTCCTGAGCTGAACTGTGTAGGAGGACAAGGTCCAGGCCACCGGGTTCCCTGTTTTCATGTGATTTTTTAAATGTTCTTTGTTCCGTTCTGTTCCTGTGTGTGAGAAGAGTGTGCTGGTTACAAACAAAGAGCAAGCTTTATTTTTTTTCTCCAGCTTGCGTGGTCCAGTACGGAGACCGTAAGGGGACATATGCTATATGAAGCAGCCTTTCATTCAAAATGAATGAATGAATGAATGAATGAATGAATGAATGAATGAATGAATGAATGAATACTGTAATTAATAAAGTATTAATATTCCATCAAATAAAATAAATGTCCCCATAATATAAAACAAAATGAAAATGTTAATATAGCATGGCTTTAATTTATTTCTTCATTTATTTATATTTAAAAAATGTTTACCATATTTATTTATAAATTGTTTTATTCATTTTATTGTAGTTTCATTTTCTGACACTTTTATTGTGGGCTTTTA